GGGGCGGGGGGGAGCGAGGCCAGCCCTACTGGCTTTGCCGGCCCCTCTTCCGTCCACACTGTTGCCATCACCTCAGGGAGCAGGGCGGAGCGAAGCCAGCTGCATTGGCCTGTGTCCCTCCCCTCTGTCCCCACCATCTTGGCAGCAGGCTGCCTTCTGTCAGAATGCTGCTCTGTGCTGATTGGCTGTTTGTCAGCCAGATTGTAAATAAAGCATTACAGACAGACAGACAGACGGACAGAATTAGCTTTTTATAATATTAGAATCCTCCAATTAAAGGACACCATGTTATGTCATAGAGCTTACAGCCTGACTGAAGTTGTTGTGCTTCTCATATTGGATGGTATCTAAAAATGTGAAGGAAATTGTAGCAAACTCATCCTAGATAAAAGCCCCAGCATATTCTAGGGTAAAATCCCAGAGGACTTTCGCTGTGTTTGCTAGTGAAGTCTTTTCAATTTCTTGTTAGTCATGCTTATGGTAGATTAACTTTCCTTCTTTTCTGGAAGCCTCTGAAGCATGGTGTAGTAAGTAGCGTATTCCTGTGACTGAAGAATATTTGTAGTGTGCTTTAATCTAACAGTTTGTGTTAAAATCTAGATTTACAACTGAAACTGTATTTTGGAGGTCTGAATAGACAAGTTTTTTCTGAAGAGGCCAAAATCTCTCCTTCAAATTGTGCTTGCAGTTAAGTGTCCAAGTATCTGGATTTGTGCATGCAAGAAAATTAGAAAGATGGCTAGCTTTTAAAATCTTGATGCTTTACATCTATATCAGTTACAGGTTTTTTGCTTAAGACAAGAGAGACAACCTTTCACTCCTGAACTAATACTCACTGTTTTAATGTAAAGCAAGGTTTTACACATACTGCTGTAAAACTGCTTGCCAAAATAAGCAAATTAACTGTGTAGCACTCCACCAATTTATTGGAAGAATATTGATAAACATTAATACATTTATCATAGCAGTCTTTGTGGTAAATATAATAGGTTTATACTGTAATCATTTTAATTATATAGTCCATCTAATTATAGCAGTGTATTGTGACTCATTTAAAAATAAACAACTCCCAAAATATTTCTCTCGACTCCAGTTAGTCTGGCCTAGTATACTGATATGCTGAGTCTGGGTTCAAATTTAACAAGTTGATATTGGAGTAGCATTTAGTAATGTCAGCTATCTGTACAGCGTAGTCATGAAATTAAATCGGTGCTTTGGTTAGAGACTCCAGTGTCTGAAGTAGTGAAAGGTCTATGCATTCTTTTCTTATGTGCCTAGCTACTAGCCTTCAGCAGCCTAGTATTGAGTTTCCTGCCTTCCATAACAGCTTGTTAAAGACTCTAAAAACTCAGTGAGAAACATAATTTCTGTGAAAGCAGGGCCTAGATTATTTTTAATTGAGTTGAAATATGTGGGAGAATGGCTGGATCATGTCTCAACACTAACGTTTATTAGAAATATCCCAAGAGAACCCTCCAGCAAATGGTTCAGAATGTGTGTAGAATGGGGCATGTAAGGATTAAATGCTATAATTACTGTATCTAGGTGCATGGCATTGATCTGCTGATTTGATATTTAGATGTTTTAGCTCAGACACCTCTTGTTTAGGGTAGAAATAGTTTTCTAGCTAAAGCACTGAAGTGGTTTGAAATCACAGATTGGGTATTTTGAGGAGCATGAGTGAATGGGGAACAGGTACCATGGTCTCTCACATGGCCTACACTCACTGTGAGGAGGAAGGAGTACTGAGTACTATTCTACTTTTACACTGGAAGTGACCAAGATATGACCTGCAGGACTCTGCACCGGTCCAGAAATTTGGCAGCAGGGAAGCAGTGACAGCATTAATTGCTGTGGCTTCAGGAGTCATATCAATTTAATGCTGCCTCTGCTCATCCTGCTACTAAATTTCCAGACCCAGGTGGAGGCCCAAGGGCCAGATGATGTGGTTGTGTGCGCCAGGTCTGACCTGTGGAGCTGGATGAGTTGGTCACAATTGTTTTAGATCATTAACATGCTATTTGAGGTTGCATAAAGTGTGCTAATACAAACAAGTACAGTGTGTTGCTGACAATCCTGAAGGTAACAGCTTCTGTTAGTTCTGTGATATTGCAACTTTGAACCTAAGAAGAACAGTATGAATGAGCTGAGAATTTTCCCAGTGTTTTAAGTATATATTTTTAAAATAATTTCTTATAAAACTATTTTCAAGTGAAGGATTTTTTTAAATTCTTTTTTTATATAGAGCTAATTGTATTAGAGTTCCAATGTTTAGGTAATGATATCCATAAGGTCTATTAGAACAAAGAAAATATTAAATCTTAGAACTGTTTAAAACTTTGTACCATTATTCTTGTATAAAGAAAATTTTACATTTGAGCTCTCAACTACTCTGAATCAGAATCTTGGCACCCAGCACTCTGCACTCTAGAGTGCACATTTGACTTAAGGCTGGGAGGGTCTGCTTCTGAGGAACATGTACCAAGTAAGTCAAACTTAAGCTTAAGTTGCATGAAGTCTTGCCTTTTAAGATACTCAATGTTTTTATTAGAAGCCACTTAGACCTAATCATTAATGAATTCAAATGTTAACTATCTCTTGGCCCTTAGCTAAATTTTAGTAAAATCCTAGTAGTTAGTGTGTTTCAATTTCCTCTTCCATGTTGTTCCTCATCTAATCTGTAATCAAACCAACTATTACCTATTCC